AGCTTTTTATTGCCCGGTAAACCTTTCATCACGCAACCACGGACATACACGGTTATGAAGTTGTTGTAGAGAGAGGAATGTCCGAACGGAACAACACCGTGCAGGCTATGATGTGACCACTTTATTTCGCCCAGCGAAAACAAGGCTGTGGCTGTGCACTTGTTAAAAATGTTCGAATGTTTGACTCTTTCAACCCACTCTTCAAAATTAGAGTGGGCGTGAAACGTCTCAAGTTTACTAACAGTTGTTCGTCATATAGATCACATGACCAGTATTTTTTTGTTCAATGCTCCTACCATTGTTACACATACCATACAGTATTATAATCAGGGGTTGAAATACTCTGGTGCATTATGCACATAGATTATTAGCTAGTGCAATTAAACACAAAATACAATGTGCACGCGGTGCATGTAGAGATTAACGCGACATTTTCTCATTATATTCACTAAGCCTACCGTAAATTAAGTTCAACCAACATTGTAAGACAACTAAAAAAGGCAAATTCTTTCATGATCGCATCAATCGATAAACCATAAATTTTATTAAAACTTCAAAAGTGGTGCATTTCACAACAAGTTAGTGCAGGTAAATTTCAAATTTAACATGCGCACTGTACATGCAGGGAGAAAATTCTATTTCAATCCCTGATAGTGCACATTTTTTAAACAAGGTACTCATCATGTTAAATTATTAAAAAACAAAAACCTCTTATCTTGGCTCAATATCAAATGTTGGATGTAAAATCCAAGAACTTAATTAAACACTGTTGTGCGGGCACTTATTATGATGCATGATTGTTACTAGATGTGTAGTGACTGTTCTGCACCTATTTAAATTTTGGTCGCCATAGCGATTAAATTTAATGAATGGAGATTTTAAAAAATACTAGTATGTAAGGTGCCATTTGGTGACCTTAAAAAAAAATCATTCTCTACTGAAGTAAATGCAGTGTAACATGTTGTTCATTAATTTTATTTGTTGTCCTGATCATTGTGTTGCTTGCCAGTTCTATTGCTAGGCAACTATTTTTCAAATAATAATTCCAGTATTTGTTTAACTTATCTTAAATTGATTTGCATAGTCTCTTCTGGTTTTTCAATAAAATAAAATATGTGACTGTATAATAAATGACGAAAGCCAATGACATGCACTTCAATAAATTTGTCACAAGTTTTATGAATTTCCCAAAACACATATTTTTTTACATGATTTTTTGCCAAAAAATACTTTTTTTCCACCAATAAACATTTTCATCACACTTGTTTCGTTCAGCCAACAGCTAACCTTATATTATATATATATATATATATTTGTTTCATATATACCGGTATATTTTATATAGTTTTAATTACTTCATTACAGCCAAGTTTTACAACTTCTGATTTGCTTTTGTATGTGGTTGTTGTATTTATGGAGAGGGAGCAATGGAAATTGGGGAAAAAATAATAAACAGTACTGCTTGATTTTTTTCTTTTTTTTTTTTTGCATGTTTCACTCTCAAATAATCAGTCCCTCAACACCTGTGGTTAAATAAAGCATAGCGAGCGATAGTCTGAGTGAAATCGCAGTGGAAATGCTGCGTTAAAAGTTATCGTACTCGTGAAGTGACTGAATTTTTAAATGATCATTATTATCAGTTTGAGTATTTGAAATCATTGGAGATGGCCGGACAATTCGCTTAACAGAAGAAAAAATATCCTAGCTAAATGTAGCGAGAGAGACAAAATTGCATGCAAAATGTTGCAGGTAAAAATGAAAATAAAAATTTACGAATAAGACATGAAAAAAAAAATTTGCACTGATTACATTTTTTCAGCCACCCCCATGATTTCAAATGTCCCCATTATGAAATAAAAAAAAAAAAAAGTTTTATTCTCTGTTGTTTAGGTAATGGCATCCAGGAACTTTGCCTCTGTTCTACGTTTACATTGGAAATTGCTGCTAGCTTGCATCTGTTTGATTACCGTACTGTATTACCTGACCAGCATTTTTAGTAGGTAGGTCATCAGTTATAATTAGTTTTTATGATATGTGTAATATAATATTTAATTTGTAGCATCTATGGTAGTGGTCTGCTACAAACAAGGCTTCATTTTTAGCTCCCTGTCTACTTTGTCGAGCGGAGCTTATCATATGAGTGATTGTCCTCCGTCGTTCGTGTCAATGTTTTACTTATTCGACTTCTTCTTGAAAACTACAAGCCTGAATGCTTTGATACTTGGTGTATATGTACCTTGGGTAGACCTCTCTCAGATTTGTTCATTTCATGATCATATCTTCAATTCTCTAATTTTGGTGAATATTTTTGTCATTTTGGTAAAAAGTGATATTTCGACTTGTTAAAAACCGCAAGTCCAATTGCTTTGATATTACATATATAGGTACTACATGTGGACCACTCTCAAATTTGTTCATTTCATGATGATATCTTTAATTTTCTAATTTTGGTGCATATTTTTGTCATTTTTGGTAAAAAGTGATATTTTCTTCTTTATGGTGAAAAATGATATTTTTGAATTCTTGTTTAAAACAGCAGTCCCATTGCA